GATGTATTATATTTAAACTATAGATGCTGATAAGTTCTAAGAAATATTTATACCTTTTTATATGGAAGATAATTTATATCATCCATATTTAGAGCTTTTTAAACATCAACTTTACTTTATAGGTAATATGGCTGTGCAATATTTTTTTAATTTTATCTTTTTACTTTTCTATTACTTTTTAATATATTTTGCTACATAAGTATTTCAGTGAAACTTTAAGCCCATATGTATGTCTGATTGTTTATTATTGGCTTTCCACAATCCATGTATCAGACACATTATACTAGAGGCCATGATTGCTAGAATAGCATGGGATTTTAAATTTTCTAGTATTGGGTATATTTAGTTAATTACAAATTTTACTTTTAACATTTTACTATGTTTTAACTGGAAATAAAATTATGGCTGCTAAGATATATTTTTTTGAAATCAACTCTTCAGCCCCGCCAAATGAGGTAGTTCATATATGACAATGTTATAAAAGTTTTCTACAAAAATTCATTACTATTGCTATTAAAACATATGTCATGCCTATTAAAATATATTTCTACTGGTGATTTCAACATTGTTTCTCACATTGACTTTTATTACTGGAACTTTTCATGTTCATGTTAGCAACATCTAGCGATTTTTGAATGTTTGATTGCCCTCTGCCTTGATTTAGTTGGAATTTTGTTAAATTTGGTAATGTTGCTTGAACTTTCTGACTACATTTCTTTTAACTTTTTTTCATGGACTTCCTGTACATAATAATTAAATGTTGAAATTTATGAAATACTTTTATGAATTTAGATAATTTTTAAATATTGTTAAATTTTGTTGAACTACAGAGTAATGTAAATAAAATAATTCATGTTAAAAATGGAACAAAATAATTAACTTTACATGTTTGGTGATACAGATGCAAATGTTTTTGATATATGGAGATGATAAGTCTTTTTTGACTGTACTAAAGGTGCTGAATAGCATTAAATTCTCTATTTTCCTTTATTGTTTTACTTGCGAAAATCATAGTGCACTAAGGTGGATAGAAGGTCTGCTTGCATTATTCACCAGTTGTGATTAAACATAAGGTTTTTGTAAGTATGTATTATAAAATTGATGCATGTTTATTTTTAGCATTGTGTTACTGCCTCTGGTGTTAATAAATGAACAAATGACTAGAGGAACAGCTAAAACACTTGCTAATTGAATATATTAATTATCGACCAGCATGATTATATAACTTATAGCTTTTGTAAAGTATTTTTATAATTTACATCTTTTGCATATATTAAGTAGTTATATGGTATTTCATTGATTGCTCTCCATAAATCTTTGCTTTATAAAAAAGTACTTGAAAATTCAATGAAATGACTAAGCAATAATATACCAAGTGCATTGTAACTGGAAAATGTAAATACATGCATTATCTACTATGTATTTTTGCCACACACATTTTTCATCTTCGCATACCTTGACCCTGAATTTGAAATGCCATGCTTATTTCTAAGTTTGAATAATCTCTTCCAGGATAATCAAAGGATTCTTCTTACTCATAATCATATAATTATATTTAAGGGTAAATTGCTCTTATAATCATAGTTGGTTGATTGGTTATTGGTTGTTTTAATACAGTTTTAAAAGCCTATCAATGATCATGGTTCAAAAATCTAACAAGCTTTACTTCTGGTTCACCAGGGAAACTATCATGTGCTATTCATCTCCAAATTCAGATTGCAGGGGTGGGGTGGGGAATGATTATCTGAAACAGAACGATTGACTCTTAGAGATTCAAGCATATTAAAACACTAGAGGCCTGGTGCACGAAATCCATGCACTCGGGGGTCCCTCAGCCCGGCCTGCGCCCTCTCGCAGTCTAGGAGCAGGCCTAAGCTGTCAGTTGGACATCCTTAGTGCTGCCACAGGGGCGGGAGTAGCTCCTGCCACTGCCACTGTGCTCACCAGCTGTGAGCCCAGCTTCTGGCTGAGCAGCACTACCCCTGTGGGAGCTCACTGACCACCAGGGGGCAGCTCCTGCATTGAGTGTCTGCCCCCTGGTGGTCAGTGCGTGTCATAGCAACCGGTCGTTCCACTGTGAGGCCAAAACCGGCTCTCTGATATTCCCCGAGGGGTCCCAGATTGCAAGAGGGTGCAGGCTAGGCCAAGGAACCCCATCGGTGCATGATCGGGGCTGGGGAGGGACTGTGGGAGGGATCCAGGGCTTGTCTGGCCCATCTTGCTCAGTCCCGATCTGCCGGACCCCAGCAGCAATCTACCGGTCAGAGAGTCTGCCCCCTGATGGTCAGTACATGTCATAGTGACTGGTCAACCGGTCGACTATCTTCCCCTGGTGGTCAGTTCATGTCATAGCAAGCGGTTGAGCAGCCTTAGCATATCATTAGCATATTACACTTGGATTGGTTGAACAGACAACCGGACACTTAGCATATTAGGCTTTTATTATATAGGCTATACCAATATGAATTCTTGGTTGGAGCAACAAAAAATATGGTAAACTTTTAAGAAGAAAATTTTTTCAGTGGAAGAATATTAGGCAGCTCTCAGAATTGATGGAAAGGCTGGAGAACCAGCCCTGGTAAACAGTAGAAAATAAAGGAAGGTACTAGTACAGGGGTGGACAAACTTTTTGACTCAAGGGCCACAATGGGTTCTTAAACTGGACCGGAGGGCCGGAACAAAAGCATGGATGGAGTGTTTGTGTGAACTAATATAAATTCAAAGTAAACATCATTACATAAAAGTGTACGGTCTTTTTTTTTTTTTTTTTTAGTTTTATTCATTTCAAACGGGCTGGATCCGGCCCGCGGGCCGTAGTTTGCCCACGGCTGTACTAGTAGATGAGCAAAATCAGAGCCATGTTCCAACCTCAAAAAGAGCTGGAAGTTTTTTATATTTTTGATGGCATTGATGCCTCTGAAAACTGGGTTCCAGGCACTGCTGATACGTATCACTCATTCCAGATTCAAAGTCTAGTGGGAATGTCCAACTGACCAGGCTTAGACATCAAAGACAGCAAGTATATCTGGCCTCAGCTTCCACAGAAGATGGGACATTTCTCCTACCAAGGTTTACCAAACAGATGAAATGCACTTGATGACTCAGCACCAAATATAAACACTTGTCACATGTCTACTATAGTCCATTCCATCTCTTTGTCTTTCTAGCATCTACATATACCATTCTTCCCATATTTACACATTTAAAATGCTTCCTCCTAACATAATACTATTATCCCTCTGCCATTTTTAAGTCCAGGATTTCAGTGATGTCCATTTCTCCTCTGGTTCTATAATCTTGTCTCAATAGTTTTCAATCTATAGACAAAATTGTAACCTAATGACCACTGCCACCAGTATCTATACTAATAAAAGGGTAATATGCTAATTAGACCAGGAGATGGGATATCTTCCGACTCCTGGTCTGACTTTCTTCCAGAGGAAGCCACAATGGTGGGGGCCGAGGCAGAGGCGGTTAGGGGCCATGAGGCCAGCAGGGGAGGGCATTTGGGGGCCATGAGGCCAGGAGGGGAAGACAGGGATGATGAGGCCGGCAGGGGAGGGCAGTTGGGGATTGTCTATAGTAATAAAAGGGTAAGATGCCAATCAGACCAGACGTCCTTGCAGACAAAGCTATGGTGGCAGGGCCAAGGCAGAGGTGGTTAGGGATGATCAGGCTGGCAGGGGAGAGCAATTAGGGCAGTGGTAGGCAAACTGTGGCTCACGAGCCACATGCAGCTCTTTAGCCCCTTGAGTGTGGCTCATCCACAAAATACCACGTGCGGGCGCGCACGTACAGTGCGATTGAGAGCCTTTTTTGAGCAATCAGACCAAAACATTCTTATGCTTTGGGGCCATTATGAGAGGTCCGATTCCACAGAAGTATTCCAAAGCCTCTTCCCAGTCCCTTACCACTCGACTAACTCAGTGCCCAGGAAATGTTATAGCTCCATCCAGGCAAAGTGTATAAGAGAATGTTCTGCCCTCTAGGAGGATTTTTTTTTTTCTTTCTCACTGCTGTTTCTAAGGGTCTCTCACAAATGGGTCTTTAAAAGCCAAAGCCAGTCCCTTGCCAGCTGGGTCAGTACATTGAGCAAAGCCGTATGTAATCCAGCTTTGAATTTTTTTCTCACACAGGGAAACTCCTTGTTAAGCTGTAGATATGAGCTCAGGGTCAAAAGTATGCTAATGAAAATTGGCTGTGGTTTGTTTGTTTGGGGAGGGGGCGCTCTGGTCCTGTTCTGTATACACCACTTCCTCTCCGTAAAAAAACTTATCTAAAAGGACCAGATAACGCCCAGTTCATGATGAGAAACTCAGATTGCATAGCCACCTGATGTCACGTGGTCAGACAAATTCTGGAGACTTCCACTGTAATTCTGTAAAGACTTCCAGCTTGGCCAGTGTGGTTCAGTGGTTGAGCGCCGACCCATGCACCAAGAGGTCGCTGGTTCCATTCCTGGTCTGGACACATCTTCCCCCCCCCCCGCCCCCCCCCCCACACACACACACATACACTCCCCCTCTCCCGGTTGCGGGCTCCACCCCCAATAGGGAGCATGCAGGAGGCAGCCCATGGATGATGTTTCTCTCTGCCATCTATGTTTCTCTCTCTCCCTTTCTAAAATAAAATAAGTAAAAATTTAAAAAGACTTCCACGGGTTACATGAAGCCTCCTGATCTGCCACAAATGCTCCCAACAAATTGGAACTGTTATAATGTAAGGGGCCAATTGGCAGGACTCCTTTCACAGCAGCCTGGACAGATGGAAAGCTTTTTCTTGCTCTGCACGTCACTCAAAACTCATCTTTCAGGTCATCTGGTCAATGAGTGACGAATTAGGAGTTCACTAAATAATAGATGAGAGAGAGGAGAGAGAGAGAGAGAGAGAGAGAGAGAGAGAGAGAGAGAGAGAGAGAGAGAGAGAGAGAGAGAGAGAGAGAGAACGAGAACGAGAACTGAGGGAATAGAGTAAAAGATGCTCAGTCTTCATATACTATAAAAGATCTTCCAAGAGACCTTGTCCCTCAGATTTAGATATTAAACGAAATGATTCCCTCATCCCACTTCAGCCATGATTTGGGGGTTGAATTCACACGGGCTTCAGAGTAATTTTGGTCGTTCCTGCTTCCTGCGCTCCTTTGTCTACAAGAAGCCTGAGCCAAGAGCTCTAATGCCCAACGCGGGGAGGACGGAAGCCCCGCCCCCGCGGGGAGCCCCGCCCACCCGGCACACGCAGTCCCGCCTCCCACCGGAGGCCCAGAAACGACTTTGCGGCCTGGCGGGAGTCTGCGCCATGGCGGTCGCGGGGTTTGTAGGTCGCGCTCCGGCTACAGCGTGGAGAACGGCAAGTAAGGCACCCGGCCCAGGAGCCTGGGTTGCGGGCGGGGGCCCCGGCTCCGCAAGGAAGGCCTCCCGCACGGGAAGCCGCGTGTGTCGAGGGGTTTGCGGGTGCAGGAGGTCGCCTAGCTGCTCGGTCACTCCGCTCGGCCACGCGCGCCTTGGCCTAGGCAGGTGCCGTGCGGGGACCTCAGGGTGGGACTGGAGCTGGAAGAGCCCCAGGCCCTTCCCACCGGCCACCTGCTTCCTTCGGCCGCTGCTCTGACCGGGAAGGGCCGGCAGCACACGTTCCTGGTGGGGTGTTGGGGAACTTGCCCAGCGCACTCGACTCTGATGCTTGTGGCACAAATGGAAAAGTGAGCCCTTTGGGAATGGGAGTCATTCGTGTATTTATTTATTTACATCACAAAGGATTTGTGCAGTTTAAACTATGAAAAACATTGGAAAAGTGCAGAAGTGGGCCAAAGGCAAATAAGCATAACAAAAATTAGATGAAGCTAGGAATTGTTAATACAGAGAAAGTATGGATACTTTCAGTAAAAACCAATACTTCTTAATCCCTTTGGGTTGGAAATGCTCTCAATATATTACAGACTTAACCCACAGAGTGTGCTAAGCATGGCTTTACCTTAGGACATCTGGGGGAAATTGTGTTGTGTACATTGAAAACAGGATTACTGCCCCTCATACTCGTGGGTCCCAGGTTCCTATGCAGTTGGTTTTCCTTTCTGTAATCATTTCTCCCCAAGCATATTATTTGTTAAAGGGTAAAAATTTTAAATGGTCCAGAATGAATAATATAAAAAGTGAAAGTCCCACGTTATCCAAACTCCAAGGTAATAACACTAACGTTTTGTTGTGTCCATACAACAACCTTTTTCACTAGTGTTAAAAACTTATGAAGCATTTGATACCAAAGGATTTTACAACACGTGTAAGTTATGAAGCAAAGCCAACATTTACAAACCCATTGTCCACTTTAAGAAGTAGAATATTTCTATTGCCAAGCAATTTCCTGTGTGCTGCTTCTGGGTGAAGATGTGTAATTTTGCATGTTTTTTATCTTTATAGAAATGGCCTCACACCATTTTTATTTTATTTTGCTGCTTTTTTCAACTGTGTATTTTGAGATTCATCCATAGTGATGTTAGAGGTTGCTCAACTGTGAAAATATCTCATATGTTCTTCCATTCTCCTCAATGAGCATTTGGATAATTCTAGAAACACCAGGTTTGGTTGCTACACATTCTTATGTGTTATGGGTGCCCTCATGCAAGGAATGGAATTCCTGGAACGTATTGTATAGGGCTGTTCAGTTTTACAGTCCGATGCCAGTTATAAAGGCATTCATTGTCCATTCTTACTGGCAGCTTACACTTCTACCAGCAGTATATGAGTTCCTGTTGCTCCACATATTTGCCAACACTTGATATCATCAGAAATTTTCATTTTTGTGTGATTCTAGGATGCTGAAATAGTATCTTACTGCAATTTTGCTTTCCTATTGTTAGAGGAATTAAAAATCTTTTAAAATTTTGTTCTCTTTGTTCTGAAATATCTTTATTTTCTTCATGGATTATTTGTCTTATTTATATTTTTCACATATATTTGAATACTAAACCTTTTTTAGTTATGTAAGTGGCAAGTAGCTCAGTTTGTGGGCTGTTTTTGTCACTCATATGGTGTCTCTTTTTTTAAGTCATGTAAGACAGTAGACAGAATACAGCAATGAATCTGTATGTACAATCACTCAGCTTCAAAAGTGTCTTGATTCATAATTTTGTTTTCATCTTGTAACCCTTTTGTTTATTGTCAGTGCTTTGTGATCTTGTCTAATAAAGCCTTTTCTACCCTAAAGTCATAAAGTATTTTTCTATAATTTCTTCTGAAAGGTCCATAGTTTTGTTTTTTATATTTAAACTTTTTTTTTTTAACCAGGAATTGATTTTTGTGTATGGTGTAAGGCAGGAAACCAATCTCATTTTTTTCATAGCAATAACCAGTTGTCCCAGGACCCTTTCTCACACTGTATATTGCCAGTTATCATAAATCAAGTTTACATATAGCCCTAGCTAGTTTTGCTCAGTGGATAGAGCATCGGCCTGTGGACTGCAGGGTCCTGGGCTCAATTCTGGTCAAGGGCACATACCCAGGTTGCAGGCTGGGGGGTGCGCAGGAGGCAGCGGATCAGTGATTCTCTCTCATTGTTGATGTTTCTCTCCCTCTCCCTTCCTCTCTAAAATCAATAAAAACATATTAAAAAAATAAGTCCCTAATTTAAATAAATAAATACATCAAATTTACATTATATATATTATATATGTATTACATATACATAATATATGTGTATTATGTATATAATCCTCTATAATAATAAAAGCGTAATATGCTAATTAACCAGATGTCATTCTGGAAAAAGCTGGGGCCGGAGGGAAGCCTGGGTCCTGGGTGCCAGAGGGAAGTTGGTGCCGGCAGCCGGGGGAAGGAAGGCCTTCTCTTGCACAAATTTTGTCCATTGGGCCTCTAGTATGTATGTATGTATGTATGTGTGTGTGTGTGTGTGTGTATTCATGGGTTTATTTCTTTGGCTCTCTTTTCAGTTTCATTACTCTGACTATTCATGTACTGATGCCACCTGCCTTTAATAAACCGTACCTTTGTAATTAATCTTGATATCTAGTAGGGTAAGTCCTCCCATCTTGATTTTCAGAAGTGTCTATTCTTGGGTATCTGCTTTTCATATAAAATTATTTTTAAAAATAAATAAATAAAATTCCTGTTGGGATTTGATTAATACTGCTCAATATTTTATGGTTTTTATTATTTAAAAAAATCTTTATTGTTGAAAGTATTACGAATGTCCCCTTTTTTTTTTGCTCCATTGGCCGCTTCTAGCCCGGACCCGCCTCTCCCTCCAGGCCTGAATTCACCACACTATTGTCTTTGTCCATGGGTTATGCATATGTGCCTGTAAGTTATTTGGTTAATCTCTTCCCATCTACCCGCGCACCCTGCCTTACTTCTGAGATTCCACAGTCTGTTCCATGCTTCTATGTCTCTGGATCTATTTTGTTCTTCAGTTTATTTTGTTCTTTAGATTCCACATATGAGTGAGATCAGATGATTCTTGTCTTTTTCTGACTGGCTTATTTTGCTTAACATAATACCCTCCAGGTCCCTCCATGCTGTCTTAAAGGGTAAGAGAGCTTCCTTTTTAAAGACTGCTGCATAGTATTCCATAATGTAAATGTACCACAGCTTTTTAAAATATATATATTTGTATTGATTTCAGAGAGAAGGGAGAGGGAGAGAGAGATAGAAACATCAATGATGAGAGAGAATCATTGATCGGCTGCCTCCTGTACCCCCCATATTGGAGATCAAGCCCGCAACCCAGGCATGTGCCCTGACCAGGAATAAAAGTATATTTTAAAAAATATTTTGAAGATTTCCTTCCACTCTCTCCTATCTTGTAATGTTTCTATTGAGCAATTTGATGATAGTTTAACAGGGTTTTCGTTGAATGGTACAGTCTTGTTTTCGCAGGCTGCTTTGAGAATTCTTTCTTTGTCATTAATTTTTGACAGTTTGAATAAAATGTGTCTTGGAAAACATCTTTTTGCATTGCTATAATTAGGTGTTCCATTAGGTTCCTCTATTTGAAGTCCAGTTCTTTCCATGGGCTTGGGAAATTCTCATCAACTATTTCTTTTAGTAGGCTCTCTGTTCCCTTCTTCTTTTCTTCTCCTTCTGATATACCTATTACCCTTACGTTGCTTCCTCTGATGTAGTGAGATGGAGTTCTTTCATTCAAAAAACAAAACAAAAAACCTCTTAGTTCTCTCTTCATCTTCCTGGGTCATGGCTAGGTTTCTCTCTTTAAGGTTGTTAATTCTCTCTTCTATCTGAACTGCTCTATTTCCAGTGCTCTCTCATACATTCCTCATTTCATTTATTGAGTTCTCCGGCTCCAGAATTTTGGGGATTCTGTGAGACTTTCATGAGAAATGGATTGAAAAAGTATTTCTCCTCAGAGAATTTGCTTCTGCTTTGCCATATGTCTGAGAGCACTTCAACTTGGGTCCTCTTTACAGTAAGATGCTCCTCTTGGCAGGGGGAGGGGGTCGGGGGAGGGGTTGTGCCATGCAGATAGTTTATAATCAGGAATAAACAAAGATGTGGTCATTCAGTGGCTTCAAAATATCAAGAGGGGCTTCTTTTTCTGCATCTCCATTCAGCACCGATACTGAGATGGACATGTTTCCTTCCTTAACCATTTTCTTCATTAACTGGAGGTTTTCTTCTAGTCCCTTGGCCTTTGACCAGCAGCATGAGCAACACGTGGGAGCTTGTTAAAATGCAGATCTCAGGTTCCACCCAGACCTACTCAGAATCTGCATTTTAACCAGATCCCCCAGGATGTTCATGTGTTTTTACCCATAAATCTTCTGGCTCCTTTTCTTTTCTCAGAGCATGAGCTTCCCTGAGGGCTGGCCTCTATTTCCCAAGCTCTAGTGGAGAAAAAGACATAGACTATGTAATAGTTTAAGTGTGTTTACCTCATTGGACTGCTTTTTTATTTTTTTATTATTTACTTTCTTAAAGGCTCTTTCTCTGATTTGGAAGTTTTTTGTATATATTTTACTTTTTCAGGTGTTTTATAGCTATATAGCTTTAGCATCTTAATTTATCAAATTCCTGAAAACAGAAGTTCTAAAAAGTTGTTTTTTTTAATCCTCACTAGAGGATATGTCTAGTTTGCAAGTCTTTTACTTCTCCTTTGTATTACTTAAGGAGAGGACCAAGCTGCTGTAGTAACAGTCCTGCCAGTGAGAACAGGCAGGGCCACTCTGCTTTGACAGTAAATATTTCTTGCTTTACTAAGGGATCCAGATTCTTTTCATCTTGTTGCTCCCCCATTTGTAAGGCAGTACCAACAGTCAGCCAATATGCAACAGTAGAGTTTTGCTAGTTATTTACAAGTTGTGTGTTCTGATTGATTGGACATATGTTCTGGTAAGCAGTGTCTAGAATTAGTTAAATACTAGAGGCCTAGTGCACAAAAATTTGTGCACTCGGGGGGAGGAGGGGTTTGGGACCCCTTGGGGGATGACCACCTGCTGGCTTAGGCCCGCTCCTCAGGGGGATTGGGCCTAAGCTGGCAGTCAGACATCCCTCTGGCAGCCCGGGAGCCCTCGGGGAATGTCTACTTGCCAGCAGGGAGCAGGCCTAAGCTGCAGTCGGACATCCTTAGTGCTGCTAAGGAGGCGGGAGAGGCTCCCACCAACCACCGCTGTACTGGCAGCCATCAGCCTGGCTTGTGGCTGAGCAGAGCTCCCCCTGCTGAGCACCAGGGGGCAGCTCCTGCATTGAGCATCTGCACCCTGGTGGTCAGTGTGTGTGACCAGTCATTCCCAGTCGTTCTGCTGTTAGGGTCAATTTGCATATTACCCTTTTCTTATATTACCCTTTTATTATATAGGATAGAGGCCTGGTGCATGGGTGGGGGCTGGCTGGTTTGCCTTGAAGGGTGTCCTGGATCAGGGTGGGGGTCCCGCTGGGGTGCCTGGCCAGCCTGGGTGAGTGGCTGATGGCTGTTTGCAGGCTGGCCACAGCCCCCAGCCACCCAAGCTCCCAGTGGAGGCTGGCTGGAAGCAGGTATCTGGGATTTACTTATCTTCTATAATTGAAACTTTGTTGCCTTGAGCAGAGGCCGCAGCCAGCCAGGGCAGGTGGGAAGCTTGGCTTCCTCCATTGTCAGGGCAACCAAGCCTCCTGCTTGCTCCAGCTCCGTGGCTGCTGGCCGCCATCTTAGTTGGGTTAATTTGCATATAGTCGCTCTGATCGGCTGGTGGGCATAGCTTGGAGCATAGCAGAAGTGCCGTCAATTTGCATGTTTCTCTTTTATTAGATTAGATTTTTAAGTGTCACCCTGGCCTGGGATTTGTTCTCTCGTATGTGGTTGAAGCTGGGTCACGGAGGGAATGGGGAAAGAAATCCAGGGCAATCAGCTTGTTGCAAAATTGAAGCCACCTAAAATGTGCACACATCACTTTCAGTCTCAGCCCTGTGGTCACATTTGGACACATGGCTGCTTGCCCAGAGGGGTCACTGGGAAATGTGATCTCTAAATGCCTGGGCTGGTTATTAGCAAGGGAAGTGAGTGGGAGTCCTAGAACTAAACGGGAGAAGGGAAACATGGCTATTTTGGATATTTAGCAGTCTCTACCACATCTACCTAATGTCACTTTTTTAGAAAATGATTTCGTTTATATTGAACAAAATTACTGTAAAATCAAGACAATTATACCTGTCTCATCAGATTATTGAGGCTTAAATAAGGTATCATCTTTTCAGCTGCTAGCACAGTGCCTGGCACAGAGGCATCTAACACAGCTTTTACTTTTATTATAGTTAGTATATTTGCATCACTTAAGAGGTAAAATTTTTAGCCTCAGATTTTTATCTATATTATAATTGGTAGCCAGGGATGTATTCTGTGACATTTTTATGATTTTGCATAAATGTAGAAATTCTACAGATTTAGAACATACAAAATTACGTTTTATCATTTCAGGCTTTCATTTAAGAGACTTTTTAAAAATTTGCAACAACAACCAAACCTAAAACAAGAAGTGCTGATTTTAAAATATATTTTTATTGATTTCAGAGAGGAAGGGAGAGGGAGAGGCAGAGAGAGATAGAAACATCAATGATGAGAGAGAATAATTGACTGGCTGCCTCCAGCACGCCCCCTACTGGGGATGGAGCCCACAACCTGGGTGTGTGCCCTTGACCAGAATCGAACCTGGGACCCTTCAGTCCACAGGCTGATGCTCTATCCACTGAGCAAAACCAGCTAGAGGGCAAGAAGTGCTGATTGTATTGTGATGAGTTGAGCCGGAGCACACAGTTTCGAGTGGCTACTTGTATGTATTAAGTACTAGATAATTTTTAGGCTTCAAAGTGAGTTTTTTATTGTACAATAAGATATACTTAATTAGCAACAAAATGCAGAGACTACTTATTAGCCAAAGTAAATGTAAAATCTGTCCACATTTAGAATCTTAATATGTAATTGTTGAATTCTCCTTTCTGTATATCTGTATTATTACTGAACTATCTTTCTTGCTTTACTGATTAGTGATAGATTTATTGATGAATAGATATTTGGCCATCAGGTGATGGACAGAAGTTTCTATTATAGAGACTGCATAAACTTGCTAAATTGGATATAAGGTCAAATTATAAAGAAACCTATATTTCAGATAACATGACTAATTGATTTTTATATCCTGTTATTTGGACTGAGAAAGTCCTTCAGTTGTGCATTTTCAATGTGTTTTCTAGGTAGTCAGCCATTATAAACCAAGATGAGATTATTATATGAAACATATTAATATAATCAGAAATTCAGATTTGTATGTTTTCCATTTAATTTCTAAATAAAAATAAATGCTGTCTTATAAGATACTATTACAGGTTTTTTCTCTTTAGTCTTTTAGTATATGTTTAACTAAGTCTTCTTATAAGGAGAAAAGAAAAATAAAATATACCTTAGATATTGGAGTTTGGACACAAAATAGTCTGCACTCTAAATCAATAAATAAGTAAAAATTTTAAATAGATAAGTGTATTTATTTACTTTAATATGTACAGAAATTTTTTTGGTTCACAAAATTTTTCTCAGCCAATTAGTATCATAAATATGAAGTATTTTATATTAGTGACCATGTAGATGGAAGGAAACTATATTAATTCTGTAGATCATTGCCATAGCTTTATTAAAATACTAATAAGTTAATGAATGCAGCCCTAGCTGGTTTGGCTCAGTGGATAGAGTGTCAGCCTGTGGACTGAAGGGTCCCAGGTTTGATTCCGGTCAAGGGCACATGCCTGGGTTGCGGGCTCGATCCCCAGTGTGGGGCATGCAGGAGGCAGCCAATCAGTGATTCTCTGTCATCATTGATGTTTCTATATCTCTCTGCCTCTCTCCCTCCCTCTCTGAAATCAATAAAAATATATTTTTTAAAAAAGTTAATAAATGCATCTGCCTGATACATTTAAAAAATTTTAGGAATAGAGGCCCATGATTAGAATCTACACTCATAAAAGAGAAAGATGCAAATTGACCATACCTTCGTGGCGCCCACCAGCCAATCAGGAGTGAGTATGCAAATCAACCCAACAAAGTTCCATGCCGCTCCGGGCCTCTGGGCATCGTGGGAAGGCTCCAGGCCAGAACGAAGGCAGAAAAGTGGCTCCAGCTGGAGCAAAGGCGGTGCCGGCAGCCAGGGGAAGGAAGGCCCATTCTTGCACGAATCTTCGTGCATCAGGCCTCTAGTGTACCTATAAGACTACAAAATACAGTCTCTTGTGACTTCTAGAGATTTCAGTATTAAGTATTATAATTGAGAAATTCACACTAATTAGTTATTCAGAATGATCTGATTCTTGGCATTGCTTCAGACAGGAATCAGTGTTTAAAACTGATTCTACTATTTTGAAAATGGTTAACCAGCTTATTTCAAAGCTCTTCTTTTCACACTGATAACATTGGTTGGTTCCAAGGAAAGGAAATGGCTGTCTGGAAGATATGGACCGAGGGAAGAATTTTCACTGTGTGTCTATTGTAATGTACCCCGCGAATCACACAAGGACGCCTCAAGAAGTCGAATTAAAGAGTCACGTTTATTGCAATCCAGGACTATGAGGGGTCATTCCCAAATCTCATAGTAACCATTTAGTCACAGTTCCAGGATTATATAGGCAAAAAAATCACACAGGTATTGATTACATCTCAGGGTTTGGAATGAGGCACCTGGCTCGCAAAAAAGCAGATTACAGAAGCAGAATTAAGCATGTTAATTACAGTTTCGGTTCTCGGGGCCACTGAGTTGACAGAAATACATTATCTAGAGCCCTTGGGTAACCTGGGTTAAACTTAGACATGTTATCTAAATTACAGCTTTGAGTCTCCGGATCACTGAGTTGATAAAAACACGTTATCTAGAGCCCTTGGGTCTCCTGACCAGTGAGTTGTCAGGACAATTTAGAGTAATTATGCTGTTCTGGTCTCGGGACCACTAAGTCAGCTGGAACGCTCCAGCTGTGGCCACTAAAACAATTTAGGGTAATTGTGCTGTCCTGTTTCCAGGTACAGAAGAATGTGCTTCGATAACCAGTAAGATCACAATTAATGGGATAGTCATTCAATCAATAAGGCATTCAGTCGAAAGGGATGATTTATACAATTCAGAAAAGCAAAATAACCTGTCCATTGTTAAACAAAGCAAATAGGTACCATACTTCATGTCCTTTTGTACTTTATGAACTTTGACAAATGTGAATGTATAAACTAAAAATAAATTAAGTAAAATTACTAAATTTTTAAAACAGAATAAATGAACAGCTTTTATTTTTCCACTGTCATCACTCTGCTAGGATTCCCCCTTCTGTGTCATTCTTTGAGGAATACAAGTTCTTCTCAAGGAGAAAAGTCTGAGCCTATCAAACAACCCCTTAAGAAGTCAAAGTTACCACAAGGTCGTTTGGATGCACCAGAAGATGATACCCATTTAGAGAAAGAACCACTGACCAGTAAGTACAGTAAAGCTGCTCACATTTCAGGACTGCACAGTAGCTTAGTCATGGTGTCTAGCCTCCTAACTGCATAACTGTGCAACCTTGTCTTCAAAATTGACCATCATGCTTTTCCTATCTCTATTGACTGCTTTGTTCACATCTTCTTCAGAATTTCCAGATGATGTTAATCCTGTTACCAAAGAAAGAGGTGGACCCAGGGGCCCGGAACCTACCCGATATGGAGATTGGGAACGAAAAGGACGCTGTATTGATTTTTAAGCCACATATTCTTTAATCTCATTATCTTTTTCTGAATACATACATCTGAATTAACTTATTTCTGATTATTTTCTTTGTGCATATCCTTTAATCTTCTAATTTCTATAATGTATTTAAAAGTATATATGATGGCCTTGGAAGAAAATATGCTGCTATAAGTGAGGATGGGGAAATATTTCTGCATTAACACATTAATTTTAACTTAAATGTATTGGGGTATATAAGTGATGATTAGAATTGTACCTCTTTCATCATGTCTTAGTTTAATCAGCTGCTTATAAAATGCAAATGTAAATAAAGCAACTTTTAAAAAATGATTGTATTGCCTTGTGCTAGATGATATTGACTTTTTAAATGTGAGTTAAGTAGTGCATTATATTTGAGAAAGCCACAGTAATAACAGAAAGTTTTTAACTTGGAGCCAAATTACTTGGGTACAAATCCTGGTTCTACTACTTACTAGCTATGTGACCTTGGGTAAGTTATTTAACTTCTCTATTTTAGTGTCTATATATTTAAGTTGGAGATAAAATTAGTTCCAGGTCAGCATGCAGCCTCTTTGCTTGTTCCTATATCACTGTCTCCAAAATGGCTGTCACTGGCTGCCTGCTTTTCCTTTATCTAAATCAACAGCAGTGTTTCTACCTCTTCAGTGATCTCTGATCATTGTTTCGTTCACACCCTTGGAAACATTAACACTCTTGATGGCCTCTTTATGTTTTAAAATTGTGCTAATCTTTTATTTCCCCAGCATTCTCTCCTTTGTTGCCTGAGAGACACTTTGTCATGCTGAGGTATCAGCTTGAAAGGGTTGTCAGATAATCGAGACATTTTTTCTGTGAACAACTTGGTTGAGAACAGAATTGTTGCCCTAGCTGGTTTGGCTCAGTGGAAAGAGTGTCGGCATGTGGACTGAAGGGTCCCGGGTTCGATTCCGGTCAAGGGCATGTACCTTCGTTGTGGGCACATCCCCAGTGGGGAGTGTGCAGGAGGCAGCTTATCGATGTTTCTCTCTCATCGATGTCTCAAACTCTCTATTACTCTCTCCCTTCCAATCTGTAAAAAAAAAACAAACAATAAAATATATTTTTTAAAAAAGAGAACAGAATTGTTCAATATAGGAGACATTCAAAAAGTGAGGTTTGACTGTACTTGAATTGAAATTGTTTTATATGAGTATAAATAGTATTAAAAAGTCAACGGTTGGAAAATTAGTGATTATTTGCATAGGTGAACTGATGAAATATACATTATTTGTGAAACATAAAATTCAAGTACAGAGGGCAAATATGAGAAAAGCCGTGCAATAGAATAGACCAGCTTAGTCAGTTCTGATGACTCAATAGGTCCTACCCCTGTGGCCTTTGGATAACTAACAGGGTCAGGAGAAGTCAAGTCCAGTTTACAGATGTGAAGGAAGGATGGGAACTACTGGGCCTCCCTTAAGGCCTCCTTTGCTGTTCTATGGCCTCACTCAGGCACAGGGATTGGGCCTTCAGCCCTCAGGCTACACTTAAATTAGGAAGAAAGGGCTTGCAAAGCCTATAGAAGACAAAATGCAGTGGACTGATTATTTGTGTGTTATGAATCAAGTGCAATGAGAAGATTGTAGGGAGACCTTTTTAAAGAGAATAAACTTTTTAAAAGTGTATCCTCGCCCTGGCTGGTTTGGCTCAGTAGATAGAGCGTTGGCCTGTGGACTGAAGGGTCCCGGGTTCTGTTCCGGTCAAGGGCATGTACCTTGGTTGTGGGCACATCCCCAGTAGGAGGTGTGCAGGAGGCAGCTGATCGATGTTTCTCTTTCATCAATGTTTCTGGCTCTCTATCCCTCTCCCTTCCTCTCTGTAAAAAATCAATAAAATATATTTTTTTTAAAAAAGTGTATTCTCCCCAGAAACAAACTAAATAGTGTGGTAATTGGGACTAGTCATTCAGTCTTCATACCATTCTCTCTCTTAGTCAACATTTGTTCTCTAATTGCAGTTACTGTGTATGCTAAGTAATAACCACATTCCTATAAAACTGTGCTGTAATTTAGTCAACCTCCAATTAGCCCAAATTAGTGAAGGTTTTTACTAAGTTAATACCAGATGGGCTGAGCCCCAAAATGGTGCCAGCACCCATGGATGGGGAGTCAGATTTTAAAGGAATCCAGGTGGGCTTTTTCTGGGCAGAGAATACTCTGGGTGGATAAAGGTCCTGGGAATGTCCAGAGGGGAAGGATGATGGTCTTAGCAAGTGGAATGTGGTCTAAGCGAATTGTGAAGTGGTCTGAAGGTCAGTTCCCAGGGGAGGGGATATCTGATTCAATTATTTGATCAGATCTAGCAGTTAACATTTCAGAAATACTGTGTTAGATTATTTTCTGTTGTCTAGTTTTGCTTGGATTTCGTACTAATCATCATGATATGTGACAGAGAAAAGGTAGCTTGCATACTTTAAAACTAATATAAAATGTGTAACAACCTAAGTACCTATATATATAAAAGCCTAAGCGACCATCCGACTGGTAACTATAACAATGACCACTGGGGATCAGACACTTCAACTGGTAGCTATGACGCCCACAAACCAAAACGCAGGAGCTGCTGAGTTGTGATTTGGCAGCTGTGGTTCTCCAGTGGTGCGCCCAGAACCAGAGAGGAGGGAGTCCGATTCCGGGGTATGTCACCTGAGAGCCACCCTCTCACAATCCAGGACCCCTTGGGGGATGTCGGAGAGCCGATTTCGGCCCAATCCCCACAGGCCAGGCCGAGGGACCCCACCAGTGCACGAATCAGTGCACCGGGCCTCTAGTCCTATATAATATAAGGCTAATATGCAAATTGCCCCCTCAACCTGGAATTCGACCAGGGGGCGGGGCCAGCTGGCCAACCACCCACGGCCCCTCCCCCCAGCCAGCCTGGCCTGATTGGCCCCACCTGGGCAGGCAGGCTGGACCCCACCCATGCACAAATTCGTGTACTGGGCCTCTACTATTGACATAATGGAATCCTTCATTTCTGTTAACAGTACCATGATTCATCACATTGTGGATGAAAAAGGACCACTTGCCAACCTGACGAGCTCAGGTAAGGCCTGCATGTTGGCCTTGCAAACTCAAGAGACCTAAAGTAACCACAAAGGATGGTCTGAAATTAAAACTTTTTAATTAAAAAAAGCAGTCTATTAGTCATGTCCTAGGCTGGTATATTCTCTGACAAAGATCAACTTGGATCTTAATTGAGCTTATTGTCTTTTCGCATCTATGATAACATACCTTTGGAATGTCAGGGTAACTTTTAACTTCCCTTTTACCAGACCCCACAGGGCACAACCTATATGCCAGGGTGAGACCACAAATTCCCTCATTGTTATTGTGTTAATTGTTACTGTTAACTATCCTGTACCCACCTATGTAAAAGAAGCATGTATCTATCATTTTACTTTTTATCCAATCCCAGAGGTTCCTTGCTTTGCTTTCTCCCACCTCCCTAATCTATCACCAGTGGATTTCATGTAACTCACTTAATCTCCTCCTTTGATGGTAATGTATAAAAATAGGCGTAAAACTGCCATTCTCCAGAGCATTATCTTAATTCATTGAGAGTCTGCTTCCTTACAATTGTCGACAGTTTGGCTCAAATAAACTCACAAAAATTCTTTACAGGTTTGAATGTTTCTTATGTTAGCAATAGCATCAAATATATAGGTAAAATTTGGTGGCATGAAAATATTTGTGGTTTTTATGTCCATCACACCTTAACTGAAAAACCTGAAGACTTATAAAAGGTGATGTGGCAATGGCAGTGCATCACTCAAATCTTCGCCTGTGGGAAGTAGAGTTGATTGAGAACCCCAGCTGCTGCCCCATTGGATCCACTACTGTGTTTCTGCAGAGGCCATGCTTCCTTCATGCTGTTCCTAGCCAATGAATGAGTATGGTGGGGCTACAATGAATGAAGATGGTGGCCAACTCCCTTGATGGGTGATGTTGGTTCAAGGCCTCCCCACCAGCCTTCCCAGAATTTTCTTAGGAATGTGCTGCTGTCTGAGACTCTTCCTACACAATCCTGCCCTCCCCCTTCCCTTCACAGGTCCAGCCGTGGGCAAACTACAGCCCGCGGGCCGGAAATGAATAAAACTATTGAAAAAAAAAGACTATACCCTTTTATGTAATGATGTTTACTTTGAATTTATATTAGTTCACACACACAAACACTCCATCCATGCTTTTGTTCCGGCCCTCCGGTCCAGTTTAAGAACCCATTGTGGCCCTCGAGTCAAAAAGTTTGCCCACCCCTGTTTAGACTCTGCCTATTCCTCCCTTTATAATTCATAAAAGTCTCCCAAATAAAAATACCTTTCATGTTGAATCCCATCTGTTTCTCAGACAATCCAAACTAATATGGATAAGTTTAACAGAACAATTTATAGATTTTCAGAAAATGTCATACAAAGCTTGTGGCTTTTTCTAGTGTAATTATAGTTTAAACACTTTAATTTACATTGCTTGGGGGATTTCTGGGAAATTATAGGCTGAGCTTTTCTGTACAAGGCTCATGCCATGGAGCCTTGTACATATTAGGTGTTTTAGTGGAATTGAATTATGTCCAGCATTTCTTCTTATTTTGATGTCAGTTGCTGCAACTTACCATGAATCAAACTATAATATTACCTATTATTAATCTAGTTAAGAAGAAGCCTCAAGCCGAAACCAGTTTGGCTCAGTGGATAGAGCATCGGCCTGTGGACTGAAAGGTCCCAGGTTCGATACCGGTCAAGGGCATGTACCTTGGTTGCGGGCACATCCCCAGTGGGAGATGTGCAGGAGGCAGCTGATTGGTGTTTCTCTCTCATTGATGTTTCTGACTCTCTATCTCTCTCCCTTTCTCTCTGTAAAAAATCAATAAAATATATTTAAAAAAAAAAAAAAGAAGAAGCCTCAAGCCACGTTCTGCTAGTAAATAAATGTTTGTTGGATGAATAGAATAGCTTATAATGAGCAAACTTTCTATTAGTAATTATGGATGATACATCAGCAATTTTAGTGATAATTTCAGGACAGGACAGTGCTTTGTGTAAGTGCAGGATGAAAACGGCAGTCAAGCTCTAGCTCAGTGACGGCGAACCTTCTGAGCTCGGCGTGTCCGCATTTTGAAAAACCCTAACTTAACTCTGGTGCTGCGTCACATATAGAAATTTTTTGATATTTGCAACCATAGTAAAACAAAGACTTATATTTTTGATATTTATTTTATATATTTAAATGCCATTTAACAAAGAAAAATCAACCAAAAAAATGAGTTCTCATGTCACCCCTGACATGTGTGCCGTA